ATGTTCTGGAAACATTTCTCAGTAAAACATCTAGTGGTTGCATGTATGTTACCTTAAAAAAATATTTCCATCTTGGATAAATAATCTCTCAATATATGATTACATGGAAGTTACCTAAGTTGTGTGTTGTCGGTTAAAGATTAGTGTATTTTAGAATAACATTCACCGCGCACCTCTGAATTCCGAATTATTTTCATATTGCTGAGCAGGTATGCGATTAGCTTGGACAGTTGGCATTTTGAATATAATTTAGAAATTCATGCATCTGTGTAGTTGTATGAATGTTGTGATAGACAAAATCAACTTCAGACTAGCGGCTTATATCAATATAGGTTACCCTTGATTACATGGTGATACTTATTTCACCACAGAATGTTGGGTTTGTGGTGCTATCATAAAATCAATCTTTTTCGACGTTTGAAAAATTTATTCTTTTCATGCTAGTAAATTTTCGCCAAACCTCTTAGGTCGTCGTTCCCATGAAAGATCTATATTCACTGAAAACGCCTTCTAATTCATATTAAAATTAATCGACCGCTTTTGCATAACTTAGATTCTCTTTGAATCAGTGGTCCCTTTAAATATCAAATTCGGCTGTTTAGATATGTGTAACAAATGTCGTTCAAGCGAATTTTAAATTAAACATTGCCTTGTGACCAAGACTGGATCAAAGGATAATATAGTTTATGATGTAACTATGCTGTTTGAAAATCATATGTTTGGTTAGCATCTGTTAGTACACCACATCTCATATGGGTTCCTGGAGGTCTTGCTACGTAATTTCCCTTACCCACTTATCTTCGTTCTGTTGATGTATGTATTTGCATCGATTTTGTATGTTTTCAACAGTGAAATGCTTCACTTCACGTTCTCGAAAAATAATTCATATTGGGTTATTCGAATTTTTTGAGACTACGCTTTTCGATAGTATGAGAAGGTGGAGATGGCTATATTTTCCACTTCGTTAATCAAAACTTAAGTACTGTTAAAGAAGACAACCACGATACATACAACTTTTGAGCACGCAGCAAACTTGACTGAAATGTCATCGGGAGTATTTTTAGCATGATATTCATCTTGAATAGTATATCCTAGTACAGATATTTGTCTTAAGCAAGTTCATTCCACCTATTTAACGGAAGTCTGATTTACATGATAGAAAATCGATGTTCAGAAGTGCATTCAACCACCAATAGGCGGTCAGTTAAGATTATAATTTGAAAAATCATACTCATCATTTTACAAAAAAGATAAGAACCGTTGAACTTTCCAAGTAAATCTTCATATCTATCAATCAACTTTTATTTTACCGGAGTTACCATCTTCACACTATTGACTTCTGTCACAAACGTACTGTGAATGAAATCTTGATGGCTTAGAATGTCCATCTTTTGTAAAGATATGAGGATATTTTGATGACCTCAATGAACTGTTCTCATCTTGTTCAAGTTTTAAAGACTACCACTTTAACGATGCATAGTAATTCTAATTAAACTTAATAGTTTAGTATTGAACGAATACATGACAATATCTGATCAATAAGAATAAAATTTCATTTAGTATTCCGAAAATTAATAAGCATTTATATTAACAAATTAATTACACTGAAAATCTAATTGATTTCACACATATCCATATACAGATGTAAAACGTTTACTATAATTTAAAAATTACATAGTTTCACTAATGAAGTGGTCATTTAGTAATTAAATGGAAGAAAGAAATATTAATCAGAGAGTAATTCTATTCTCTGACACTTATTTATTAATCACTAACGTTGATTTGTTGTTCATGTCCTAACAACACACATTTATTTCTATCAGGGTTTTACTCTCTTAAATTATTAAGTTTAATATTATTGTATCAATGAGTCAGCCTATTTATTTTTGTGAATTATTCATTTATTTAGTGCAGTTCTGAACATAAGCGTGTTATTTGTTGTTGCTTTAATTTTAGCTGTCTAAATACTATTTAGCGATTGTGAATTTATACAGAGTATTTAAATTATGACATTTAATTAGTGTACTTTCAAGCACCAGCTGGTCAACTAGCGTGATTTATGGAATCAACGAATAATTCTATAAAACCATGTCATCATTTTTATACTGGAACTTGACTGCGACCATAGAATCATTTAGCTATTGAATTAAAACATGGAAACTTCGTCAAACGAAAGTGTATAATATTAAGGGTAAAATGAATCTGAATGAAGTTCTTAAACCATTTTCACTTTGATATGACTAAGCTAATTTAATAATAATCATGTCTGTAAGATATAATTAGAATGAGCTTGTTCAACGTATCAGAATATTCACCATTCTGTACTTTTTTAAGTTGGTAGTTTTGGCGACTAGTGATTGTCAGCTTCAACAACATCTAAATTTTCCTATCGTAATAATTTTTACTTGTTCAGAAAGGTTTTTGATTAACTTGTTTGGCACGGAGTTGTGTTTTTACGATTGCAATATTCTATTAAAAATTTCTCAGAAAGTGGAGATTTCTTCTAAAAGAATAGATATGGCCAATTAACAAGTAATCGGCAACTGCATATAAATCCAATGTTTCCCTAACGTTAGATTTCAGTTGGCTAATATCAAATATAGTGTAACACAATGTCTTGTGACTTAATTTATTGATCAGGTACAAAGTATTTATCTTATTGTATTTCATTTAGAACTAAAAAGTAGAAAGTGATAATGCATTGATATAAGAACGTACTAAAATTCATAACTTATTAATAGTAGACATTAGTTTGTGAGAAATGCCTCTAAACAATTCACTTAGGCTACATAAAAGTGACCTAAAACTGATTGATGACATATTTACACTCGTATCTTTTAAAAATTTTATTGTTAAACACCACGGATACTAAGATATGTAAAATCATCGACCATAAAATATGTCAGCATTTGCCTATGGTGGTAATATGATTTGAGTATACAGACAGGTTAGTAGATATTTCTCATTAGCAGCTTTGTTTCAGTCGATAACATATAGCATGTTTAAATATAATACTAGTAAAAAACTTTACCAATAACGAAATCCTGTATTCTTTATCAGCGTCAACTTTAAAAGTCCACAGTAGATAGCTCCTAGTATACTCGATCAATATTTGAGAAATCGTGATTAATTTTCTAAAGTAAATCTTATCAAATGTTGAGAAACCTAAAATAGATCCAAAACTTCTAAGTAAATTAATCAAATCAAACTTTGGCGAAACTACATCGAATTAACTGTACAGATCTGAGGTATGATATTTGAGCAAAGTTTATTTGTCAAATGTGGTAGTTTTCAATATCTTAAGTGTTCCAACCATTAACATTCCATATACTATATTTCAAATCACATGTTTCAGTGTTTTCAAATGATGTTTCAAGTTATTATATTCATTTGAATTGTATATCTCATAATTATTAACGTAGTGTTTTAACGAGCTAAGCATATACACAAAGTTTGCAAACACGTCAGCATACGACACTTATCTTTTAAAACTGAAGAAATGTACGCTATTCAATATTAAGTCGTTTACTTATTTGAAATAGGTACTTAGAAGTAAATTAATTGTTGCTTGCTTATTAGTCTGGGTATCCTAGAACAATATTGATCATCTTTCTTTACAATAACAAGGTTCAGTGTTTTAGTTTATGCTTTCAGTCTGTATTAATTAAAATATATAAAGCTATGATATTAAACCTCATTTCTAATCTACAAGCTTTCTAGGAAGCAAATCTACATTTTTTGAAAAAAAGGCCGCTGGTTACTTTTATCGATAAAGTCTCCCGTTTACAATCCAAATAAAAGTACAAAATAAACAAGATGTGCAATTTTCACTCAGAGAAACAAAACATTTTTTATTACTCGACTAATGTTTCTCCCGAAATAAACCTTATAAATAAAAAGTGAGAGTGAATTCTTTTGATAACTTTGAAGAACACCCATCAGATACCGAAATATATGGCATTACTTTCTTTTTTGCTTCTGTACTTCAAGATTAATGAAATTTTGTTTAGATTGCCTTATTTAATGATCTAGAGTGTAGCAAAAATTGTTTCCCGCACTATACGAAGACATTTTGGAGTAAGACTACTAAACGTAACCGTTGAACTGTTCCAGGAGCAACTAGCCAAAAGAAAGATAGTTACTCTTTTTTTCCTTGATAATCTAGAATAATTCAACGATTAGCACAATTATATGTCTTTTTACTGAAAGATATTTGTACTGTTTATGAAATTTACCTTACCTTTGGTAGGAACTCTGGTTGATGAATTAAGATAGTCGACTTTGTGAATTATGACGTTATTCTGTCAATATACATGAAAGGACTTCATTCCATATCAGTAGTTTGTACAGAAATTTTCCGGTTAGTCTGATTGATATTGTGGCTCTTTTATCAAGAATCTTTTTTACATAACCTATTATCTCTCAAGTTTTAAGTACTGAAGAAATAGAACAGTGAGCAAATTGAATTTCTTACCTGTTTTATAATTCAGATTCCTTTTATTCTATTCACATTTCCAAATCAATTTCATTTTTTCTTATACTGATTCACTGATTACATACTTCATACATCATATTTTTAAATAATTCTACATCAACCAACAAACTTTCACTTAAGCTTATCATGCGTCGCAAGATAAACTATTTCACAGATGAGTTGGATATAATTTCTCTTTATCACTCCTAATATAATTCATAGGTCAGTGAATTTGTGAACTGGTAATAATTTTTTCATTTTCTTATAAACATTAAATGCAAGAAATCTGTTTTCACAGTTGAGTCTATACTTTCGTCCTTACTTATTCAATATTCTTCAAAATTTTTACCATAAATTCCTTTTACATAACTGCATAGTTTTTGTGAAACACGTGAAAATGAATGGGAAATTCCTTTGCATCTAACTAGTTCTTTTCATATTTACGTCATCTTATGTTTACAATGGTGAAATACAATCGTCTTAACAAATGTTTTTAGTTGCACACGTGGTAGTAGGGTGAGAACATTTTAAATTGAAACTAAAATACAATTATTACACATTTTTGAATTGACCAATAGAAAAATAAACTTTGATGACAAGATTGTTAATCACGTAAAAGTGATAGACCTCCATAATACAGGTAAATAACGTTAAAATATGAAGTTCACTATTTCACTGTTAGTCTAGTGTACCAAATAGACCTCAGTTCCCAGAAATATCGAAGTTTTTAAAATATCCCTCTGAATAATTAATACCTGAAATTTCATTCTTTTCTATCATAGCTAACTTTGAATACAATAATTCATAAATTTGGCTGAATTTACTTTAGAAAATATGTATTATGTGGATAGACATTTGATCGATAGCTCTGGAAAATTGAAAGCACTCTTTATAGATCTCATTATGCATAAACCTACAGGGAGATATTACGGAATAATTATATACTTCCCGTTACACATGATGTCAACAAAACTCAACAATCACCACAACTCTATGCTGATATTCGTTGTAATTATTTTCATTATTATTGTCAGTATTATTTCTCGTCTTCTAAATTGATGACGGTTGTAAGTGACACTCAACACACTACTGTTTCTTGCATAGTGCTCACCATTCTAGACACACAGTTAGTCGAATATTTGATCTGTTTTGTAATTACATTACTACTTCTTTCAATCCATGTTATCTGTATTGATTCTGATGATCAATGTCACAACCTCTATTGACTTGTGAACACATCCGTTTTGACAGGAAATATTGATCATAACTTTGTTAACAAGTTCATTTTGATAAAATTCCTAAACAAATACATTGTTGTTTCTAGAAGATTTACTCTACTTCGAAGTAGCAATATTTTTGGAAACATAACTCGAATTTATAACTGTGGAGTTTCAATGAGAATTTATCGACTCTGTTCAGTGCACGTGTTCAGAACGTAGTTAATGTCCAGAATGTCAAATATATTTTGTCATAAGTAAATGAAAATAATTATGTTGTGAGGTTTGGTTGTTCTAAAGTCATGATTCCATAAGTATACTCGTTCATTCAGTTGTCAAAATCTTGACCCATCTTTTTGTTTTCATAGAATCATCGCCAATCCAATTGGTGTAGAAAACTTACCAATCAAATTATAACTCTGAATAAATTTGATTTGTTAGAATACATCTGTCAAACCTATTAATTGTATGTGATTGGTTGAAGGAAATTTTGCAAAATGAAGTGTGAGTATAAAACATTCCATCTACAAAATCGTATTTTACCACGTGAAAATAAGCACATTTTACCGTGATTGACTTCTTAGGTTTGAACAGTGAAAAATTATCAAATCTATGATTTTCCTACGAAATTCTGTCTGATAGTTTGTGAATATTGTCCATCTTGAGCATACTTCATGTATCCATCATACAACAATAGTTATAATTGTACGAATTCTATAAATAATGTCTCAACAAGTTCATCTTCTCACCGGAATGGCTGCGGTACACAATCATCGCCAAAAGTTATACCTCGTAATCAACATAATTCAGCTTCCACACAAGTATATCAGCAAAATAATTGGGATTCAAATAAATCTGCTTCTACTCCGCTACCAACATCCTATTTACGGAGGTTATATAAATTGGGTTCCATAAAAAATAATGATGAAATGAGCATGTTGAATAGCATCAATACACAGGATTGTAACGACATTCAAATCAGTAATAAAAATGAACTAAATTTTCAAACTCCGAAAACCAAGAAGTTAGATGAAGTCTACCTTTCAGTTAATCGCAGAACACAACCGGGTATTTCAGCAGCAATTAAATTATTGTCACAAAATCTGAAGCCAAAAATAAATCCTAATAACGAAGTTATTGATGATTCTAATAGTAATAGCATTACTACCAATATTGTTAATACTAATACGAATACTAAGGGAAGTAATCAGAATAAAATTTCCACTAATGGCAAAAATGACAATTTATCCACTATGCTTCCTCATTCAAGCCGAGTTGAATACTCTTCTTGGAAGAATAAACGATACAGTTATACTCCTACTTCTTTCGCTAACCACAACTATGGTAATAATATCGGTAACAATTATAATAGCATTTCAACATCAATACAAACTATAAACAATGAAGACACTGATAAATTAGCAAACAATCCGCCTGGGAAAATGATGAAGGCTGACTCATCCACGTTGATGAAACCATCACTGCATAATAACAGTAATAACGAGATATATTTGGCAAACAGTAATTCACCTTGTACAACTAATTTCAATGACAATAAAAATAATATGTATTCACCTTTATTTACACGCAAAAGTAATTACGATACATTAGTTAAACGTAGTTCCTCCACATCTCCATATCGACCATTACTAAATTATCGTCCATCATGGTTACTGTCATCCAACCAGTTGACTTCCGTTCAACAGCTGGGATGTTCAAATCAGACTGTGACGCCTGGCCCTTTTTAGCTCTTTTGACATGGGTCCAATCACCTACAGATTTTTTGGGAACCACTGTCGCGTTCAAGGACCTTGAGCTGTGAGACCCAAGTTTGCTGATGGAGTCGAGTACTATCGTCGTAATCATGGTGCTAAGCTTCAGCGTGTCGTCGTTAATTCTGTTGTATGCTCCGTCGTTTGTAGACCTGTCGGCATTCCTGTTCTCGTTTTCAATGCGCTCTCCTGTTTGTCTACCCATTTTTTGACTGTCTTTTCCCAAGTTTGCAAACAACTAACTCTGCAGACCTGTCAGTAGGACAATAATATTACTCAGCAAGACTGCAGTATCCGTGCAGCATCTAACACATTCCCACTTATGATCCGACTTGCTGAGTCTGCTGTGGGCAGTTGCTGTGAGATCTGTAGCGCTTCGTGGAACCAACCTTTGCAGTTCTCACACTGCATGCCAGATGTAGCAGCAAAACGGCATCCAGGTCGTTTGCATAAATTTTTCATGACTATTGACGTAAACTGTGTTGCAGATGCTAGTAAAAGCCTAACACCATAAAAAATACACTTGAAAAAAACAGTGAAAACGGACAAAAATGGATAAAGCGGATGACATAAACTGAACTACACTTTATACGTAAAAGTGAAAAAAACAGAATAATAAGCTGAGGCAAAACCACAGTTAACTATTAAATTGGGTGGAACTCAAAAAAGCAATCTACCAAACGTTCAGCTCACGATAGATCCTTCTAGACAGAAATGGTACTTTTGTTGCGTAAGAACACAGCAAAAGTTTGATAAATGCAAATCACTTTAGGACTAAACTTCCCGTTCTAAAAATGCGCGTAGTAAATTTGCGCAATCAAATGGCTGATTAACTTCTCTTGAACTCAAGAAATTGTAACCGTATCGTAACACTACGACAAAAAACTAAAGAATTCAATATGTTTACTCCTGGTTATCACAAAGATATTGAAAGTTGACCGAATTTTGAAATGAAGGTTGTAGATTGTGTTCTCAAGGTCGCCTTGTGTGCTTTGTTATTTATCTGAAAGTCTTTAAGCCAAAATATCAGTGTACGTTAGCACTCTGGATTCTTTTGAGTTATAAGATCATATCTAAAAGGAAAATATTACAAATTGAGCTACCCTGATATGATTATTTAATCCCATTGGTGTTTCCACATAAGTTTTCCCTAATAATTGTTGTCTTTAATCGCGAATCACAGCTCACAGCTAGTTAAATTGTTCGCTCGAAATTCTCATATTCGTGGTGGATGGCGTTGGAGTTTGATTTTGGTTGAATATAGGTTCTGCAAGTTGCCTTGGATACTAGATGAGTAATGTATTTTGTGAGATTATAATGTACTCAGCTTATTTTATTGTAAGGTCCACGCGGCTATTCTACCGGGGTTAGTGGTGTTTCTGGTGCAAGGCTTAAGTTGCATTACGTTGTCTGTCTTTTTACTATTGTATGAAAAACCGTGTGTTATAAAGACACAATCAGACCCATTTTCGAATTAAATCACATAAAGTTTGTGGCAATTATCGAAAAATAAATATTTTTCCAGCGGCGTTTAAAATATTGGCAAAAGGCGTATCGGATCTCTCTTTATTTCACTGATCCGTTGATCATCTCTAGATGCTTTTTGTGATGTTGCTATCATTAATCGCTACATTTTTAACTGTCTATTCTTGAGACGTTTAGTAAGATATGATGAAGGTACCTAACCGCGTATCTTCATCAGTGGAGACCGTCAGTCACTTTTGCCTTCTACGATGTTCTGGAAACATTTCTCAGTAAAACATCTAGTGGTTGCATGTATGTTACCTTAAAAAAATATTTCCATCTTGGATAAATAATCTCTCAATATATGATTACATGGAAGTTACCTAAGTTGTGTGTTGTCGGTTAAAGATTAGTGTATTTTAGAATAACATTCACCGCGCACCTCTGAATTCCGAATTATTTTCATATTGCTGAGCAGGTATGCGATTAGCTTGGACAGTTGGCATTTTGAATATAATTTAGAAATTCATGCATCTGTGTAGTTGTATGAATGTTGTGATAGACAAAATCAACTTCAGACTAGCGGCTTATATCAATATAGGTTACCCTTGATTACATGGTGATACTTATTTCACCACAGAATGTTGGGTTTGTGGTGCTATCATAAAATCAATCTTTTTCGACGTTTGAAAAATTTATTCTTTTCATGCTAGTAAATTTTCGCCAGACCTCTTAGGTCGTAGATTGTGTTCTCATGGTCGCCTTGTGTGCAAAGCTACTCTGCCAGAATGCAGTAACTGCTTATGGATAAATGCGTTCACTGTCCAAATACATGGCGTCCAAAATCTGATTATTTTAACCATAATTAATAGTAATGTAAGCACGTCGTAATCTGTACCGCAAGCCTTTAAAAAGCACATAGTTCAGATGTTCAAATGGTTGTGGATGAAATAGATGAAGCTTTCGCTTAACAGGCTTCCGTGTCTAGTAGCAGGGGATCACCAAAGCTTCCAGACAGGAACCTAGGTATAGTGACTGGAAAAAAAAGAAATTAGTAACTCATAATAAGATGTTATGTTGAGTCCTTAAGAATAGGTCAAGTTTCCTCTTAAAGGACTCCTGGGAAGTCTCATGGACTAGTTCAGTCGGCAGCGAATTCCAGCATTTGACAACTCTTAAGTAACAGGAGTTGTGTCTACAGTCCGTTCTGCCATGTTGTATCTCCGATTTCTGAGTGTTACCCCTTAGGTTTGTATTGACACTAAGCTTAAGTAGGTGTTTAGGGGGATATCCAGAAGTGTTAAGGATACTGTAAGCCATCAGAAGGTCACCTCTAAGATGCCTATACTCTGATTGGTAAAGGTTAGGTGATTGGAGGCGTTCTTCACAAGGTTTGGATTTGAGTCCCCGAACTGATTTCGTGGCTCGCCGTTGGATACGTTCCAGGGTATCCTTATCATTTTGGAATGAGGGGGGAAATACTATGTTTCCGTACTCTAAATGGGGACGGATAAAACTGTTGAAGATTATATGGGAAGTTCTTCCGTCAAACTGGCCGAAAATGCGCTTCAATGTTACCAGTGCAAGGTTTGTTCGGAAGGCATTTTTGTCACAGCTGGCGAAAGACTTTAGATCGTAGGGCACCAGGACTCCTAAATCTTTTTCGACTTGGGACACTACTAGAGAGGAGTTTCTAAAGTTGTTACTGCAGTATGCGACATGTCGCAAATGGACTACTTTACACTTTGAAAAGTTAAAGGTAAGTCCGTTGTCATCTGCCCAACTTTGAAGTCAAGTCAGATCCTCCTGAAGTGCCTGTATATCGCCTTGGTTGCGTATCTCTCTCCAAAGTTTCACGTCGTCGGCAAAAAGTAATAAGTCTGACGTTACCTGTTGAGGAAGATCATTTATGTAGATCAAGAAGAGAAGAGGCTCTAGAACTGAGCCCTGAGAGACCCCACTAGGAAGTTCCATAGCCTGAGATAAAATGAACCTAACGCTTACCTTCAAATGTCGATTTTTCAGATATGAAATGAACCAATCAATTAGAGGTGGTCTGATACCCAATCGTTTGAGCTTATTGATAAGATATATATGGTTAACCTTAACAAAAGCTTTTGAGAAATCAAGGTAAGTGATATCAACCTTCCCCTTACGTTCGATGATGCTTGTCCATCCGTCCACCGCAGTCAGCAGGTTGGTTATACAGGGGTAACCCTTCCTGAAACCATTCTGTTGGGGCGAGAAGAAATTTAAGGACAGTGAACAGTCATGCATACCATCGCATATCCAGGACTCCATGATTTTTGAAGGTATAGAGAGAAGAGCCACCGGTCTATAACTTGAAGGTTCGCTGCGTCGACCTCCTTTGAAAATTGGTTTGATGTGAGCCAGTTCTCAATTTTCCGGTATTTCGCCTCGACTTAGCGAGTGCTAGAACATCATGGTAAGCGTCTTGCCAGGATTGAGTCTGCTTCCTTCAGTACAGCAGAATAAACCATATCTGGACCCGGAGAAATGCTTTTCTTAGGTTCTGCAGTTTCCAGAACACCAAGTCAGCGCTCAGGTTCACTGTGGGAAGCCCTGTGCAGTTACAGATGAAGCTGTCATCAGTATAGTTGATGTGGGTCGATTGAAATATCCGAGAGTATCGTTCAGCCAAAAGGTTAGCGGCGTCGCCGTCGTAATTAGACGGGTCAGTTAACGAAATCTTTTTGACGAGCTCTCATGAATTCTGTTGGGCATGTTAGTTTCGCAGAACTCAATTGTGAATGGACCTAATTTTGTAATTTTATTCAGAAAATTTGAATTTCTTTGATTTGGCGCCAAAAACGCCCTTGTCAACTTCACGTCGTATTTTTCACTGGGAAATATCTTAAATGCTACTGGTCCGTTGCGCCTTTTAGTATGCTATTTCGTAACTCTCCGCAATTACGGTTTTGTACTATATATATATACGTTTTGAATTGTGTTTGTTGTTATCGCTCGTTTCTGGCTGTTTGCAGAATATACTTCTCCATTACAACCTTGGACTTCTTCCTGTAATTTGCTAGGCTTGCACGCTAGCTTACTGGTCTTAGGTCACCGAGTCTTTGTTCTCATTCACAGATTAAATTAACTCGTGATAGCTTCAAACCATACAAATCCAATAGATGTTTTTCTCCTCCTTTCTAGTGTCATATTTCAGTTCCATTCACTTTTTCACTGAGAAGAGTTCAACTCATCTTTACCAAACCCAATGGATTCGATAGTACATTTTGGTTTATTGTTTCTTGAGTATGAATGAGTGCGTCCATACTAGAATTGTGGGGTTCACTAGACTGGCAGGACACTGCTGTCGAAGATTATGAACTACAGCAAAAATGATGGTCAGAACGAGCAGAAAAATAAATTTACTTATCAGTATGAACAGAAAACGTTTGAGGAAAACGGATGGTTGGTGACGAAATGAAAAGTGAGAACAGATTGGCGAATAGCATTAGTATTAATAGTGGTGGCAGTTATTGAAAGTC